AGTGGGAATGAGAGAACAGTAAAAAGTAATTTACAGCCCTGGCCTGTTTGGCCTAACAGTTAGAACATTATCCTTTGGACCTGAAGGGTCACAGGTTTCATTCTGGTCAAGCACATACCTGGGTTACAGGTTCGATCCCCGACCCTGGTTAGGGTCATGCGGGAGGCAACCAGTCAGTGTATCTCTCTCACATCAATGTTTATCTCTCTTGTTCCCCCTCCCTCCCTCCCTCTCTTCTAAAAATCAATGGAAAAATATCCTCGGTGAGGATTAACAAAAAAACAAAAACAACATATATACAGGCCCAGTGAGAGTAAATGGTGGCCAGAGCAGAGGCATTAACAAAGGAGAGAAGTAGATAGATTTGAGGTCTATTTGGAAATAGAGCTAATAGATCTTACTGAGTATTGTGATGAGAGACTACCAGAAAAATGGGAATCACAGTTGGTTTCTAGGATTTGACTTAAGTGACAGAGAAGGTATTGCCATTTACAAAGGTGAACAAAATGGGTCATATACATTTGGGGGGAATATTGAGAGTTCTAGTTTGAAATGTTGAATTTTTATAAAACATTTATCTTTGTTGTTGAAAACATTACAGAATTCCCCCCTTTCCTCCCATTGACCCCTCCACCCTGCTCCTGCCCCTCTCCAGGCCTTCACCACACCGTTGTCTGTGTCCGTTCATGAGTTATGCATATCTGCACATAAATTCTTTGGTTAATCTCTACCCCTTTCTTCCCTCTCAGATTCATCAGTCTGTTCTATGCTTCCTTGTCTCTGAATCTGTTTTGTTCATTTTGAAATGTTGAACTTGAGATGTTGAATAGGCAGTTAGATATATAAATTTGGAGCAAGGCAGAGAGGTTTGGGATGAGGGTGAACATTTGTGAGTCTTATATATGTATGTATGTATATATATGTATGTATGTATGTATATATAGTTGTTACTCCTCACCCAAGGATATTTTTTCTTTGATTTTCTAGATAGAATTGGGGTGTGTGTGTGTGTGTGTGTGGGGAGAAACATCAGTGTGAGAGACACAAATCAGTTGGTTGCCTCCCACACGACCCTGACCCAGGATTTGAACCTGCAACCCATGTATGTGCCCTTGACCGGGAATTGAACCCGCAACCCTTTGGTCCGCAGGCCAACGCTCTAACCCCTGAGCAAAACTGGCCAGGGCAATATATACGTTATTTAAAGCCAGAGGACTGCATGAGATCACTAAGCAAGAAGTAGAGATAATGAGGACTGAGTCCTGGGACCTCCACATACATTCTTGATGGTGGAGGAAGAGTCAGCAAAGGTGGCTAAAAGAGAGTTTCGGTGTGGTGAATATTGGAGGGTAGGGGCAAATTTGATCCAGTATCTGAGTAACAAGGCAGAAGTAGAGTTTCAAGAAGAATCTGGTTGAATGCTGCTGTGAGAGGGAGTAAGTTGAGATTAGAGACATAACTCTGTGTATTAGTTTTCTAAGGTTTCCGTAACAAATTACCACAGATCTGATGGCTTAAATCACAGAATTTTATTCTCTTAAAGTTCTAGAAGCTAGAAGTCCGAAATCTGGCAGGACTGACTTCCCTCTGGGGAAGGAAGGGTCTAGCGGAGAATCTATTTTTTGCCTTTTCCAGCTTCTGGTAGCTACCTCAGCATTCCTGGGTTTGTGACCATATTTCTCCAGTCTACTTCCATCTTCACTGAGTGCTTCTTCAGTGTGTCTCTCCAAACTCCCCTTTCCTCCCACAAAAACACTAGTAATGTCATTGAGGACGCACACGGATAATATAAACTCAAAATCCTTAATTAATCTGCAAAGACCCCCCAAATAAAGTAAATTCCAGGGATTAAGATTTGATATTTTTGTGTGGTAATTATTCAGCCTCCTAAACCTTGGTTTGAGAAACACTGTAGCCATTAGAGACCTCAGTAAGAGCAATTTCTTTGGAGCAGTCGGGAACATAAGAAAATCATATTTACCTTTCATGTTTGTTGCCACATAGAGAACTCTATTGTCTGTCTCAAGACTGAGCACATTAATCACACTGTTTTTCCATGGGCAGTCTCAGTAGTTGTATGCCTATGGTTAGCTTCAAGTTTTACATGTCAAACATAAGAAAGGAGCACATTTCTCGGAAGACCCTTCTTGTTGTTATTGTTTTTTTTAAGTTCATTGTTGACCTGTGGGATCCAAGTTGTCATTACCAGTGGCCATTTTTTCTGTAGCCAAAATCTGGTTTATTTCAGATTTCAGACATCTCTGTATCATCATCATCATCATTATTATTATTATTGTTATTATTTTTAATCCTCACTTGAGGATTTTTTTCTATTTATCTTCAGATAGAGTGGGAAGGAGAGGGAGGGAGGGGGAGAGGGGGAGAGAGAGAGAGAGAGAAACATCGCGGTGAGAGGGGCACATCCACTGGTTGCCTCTCGCATGACCCTGACCAGGGGCGGGCATGAATCAAAACTGAGGTACGTGCCCTTTGCTGGAATTGAACCCAGGACTCATTGGTCCGCGGGCCTATGCCCTACCGTTGAGCCAAACTGACCGGGGCTTTTTTTTTTTTAAGATTTTTTTTTTCTTTCTTGATTTTAGAGAGAGAGGAAGGGAGAGGGAGAGAAATGGAAACATCGATGAGAGAGAACATCAATTGGCTGTCTCCTGCATGCCCCCCACTGGGGATTGGGCCCACAACCTGGGCACGTGCCCTGACGGGAATCAAACTGGCGACCTCTTGGTGCATGGGTCGATGCTCAACCACTGAGCCACACTGCCTGGGCTATTTCATTTATAATCTGATTGATAACTGTATTGCTGAAAAATTCCTAAGCAGAAAGTGGAATGGATATCATTTAGGCAATATATAGGTATAGTGGGTATTTCAAATACATAAAGTATTTGAAGAGAGATAAAGGGATGTAGAGAAAAATGCTATTTTGCCTTTTTTTCTTTTTTACCAGCTAAAATGGATGTTAAAACTAGCACACTTGGTGCTGAGCTGCCCTCAGTTGTTCTCTGTAGGCTTTTCATGATTTCTGCTGGACAATGGGGAGCAGCAGAAGTGTTCACCAAGTTACCTCTGGCTATAATGCTACTGCATAGATAAGAGATAGCAACCACATCTGGAAGAAGCCTGCTTTCCTTGGGGGAGTTCTAGTGACAAATGAATTCTTTTATCCTCAGATATTCTATGAATTGGAACTGGCATCCTTGCGCCGCCCCCCCCCCCCCCCCCATGTTTTTGGATGGGAGGGCAGGCACTGGGCTTTCACCATGTGAAAGGCTTTACTTTCTTAGGGAGCTGACCTGATTATCATAGGTTAAATCTTTAGTTGTGGGGCCATTTTCCCAGATTATCCCTCTCCTCTGTGTTAGAAGCATAGACCTAAGTTTGACATGGTGAAAACACACAGACTTTAGAGTTAGGCAGACCAGGTTCATCCACTAAGGTGTTCTGTAACCTTTGGCAAGTTATATACCCTCTTGGAGCCTCTGTTTCCTAGTTTGGTAAAATGGGGTTGAAGGCATCTGCTATTATGCTTACCATATAGTAGGCATGTGAAAAATATTAATTCCACTATTAGTACATCCTTTTGTCCATTTATTCACTTTTATGCATTTACTGATACTTAAATTTCCTTCCTTTGGTGTCTTTATATTAAGCAGAGTTTTAAAGAAAGATCCACCTGTTAACATAGCATCTCCTTTGGGAAAGAGAAATAATGACCACTCTTCACTTCCCAGTTTTGTCACCCTATGATAGTTACTAACCATTTCTGTTCCAGTACATTGGAATAAAATCATAGTCATCAGGAATACTTTCTGAAGAAGTCTTTAATTATAAAATTCACTAAGGAGGCAGGAGAAAGTTGTTTTATTCCATGTCTAGGAGCAGCTCTAGGCAAGACTAAAATATTAAGAGGAAGGGAGTTGCTGAGGAATGAGGCTATAAATAGGTCAGTTTATTCAACATAGAGTATTCTAGGAATCTTTGGAAGAAAGCTGTAGGAATGAGTCTACTTGGGAGAGAATCAGGAAGTGAAACAGCAATGAGAAGGACTTCACATGTTGACAAGTTATTATTGATTAACTGCCCTTTTGTTTCTGGGCTGCTGTGTGGTTCCAAAGGATGGCAGGATGGCCTTTGCAGTTAGCTCAGTACTGAGGTCACATGCTTCCTCTGCACTTCTCCACCTGTGTAACTTGGGCAAGCTGCTCCCTTGTTAAATGGGCATGAGACTATATGTCCTTGATTTCCTAAGACCTCTCAGTTTGAGACCCCTTTGAGGAGGTGGTGGGAACATTATTTTATTAAATTAGTCATCCCTTATAGCCAGTTGTATGCTGTACAAATGTTTATGTGATTTTTTTTAAAAGTGCATTTAGGAGCAAAGCAATATGATAATACCATCTCAGGAATGTTGGGAAGATTATTAAGATAATGTATGCCAAGTGCCCATCCAAGTTATTTTTCAGTGGCTTGTAGCTATTATTAACAAATTAAAAGACATGAAAAATAATTTATTGATAACATCTAAAGAAAGAATTTTAAACAACAAGGTCACAGTGTGACCAGGATATGAAATAGAACTCGAATGAGGGGAAAGAAGATGAGATAAAAGTTCAGGTAATGCTTCAGAGATAAATAAATGTGTAAACGAGGAGGAAGTTTTACCCCTTTACAGACAAAGTTTTCATTGTTTGTAATGATAACTTTGTGATATATGTTCCAGTGTGAACAGCAGGAATGTGGTAACCCATGTTGGAGAAATGGACGCTTGTGTCATCTTCTTAAACTGCTAATCGCAAAAAATAATGCACTGGATAACTTACAAATAAATTGTGTGTTGTTGTTGTTGGTGGTGGTGGTGGTGGTGGTGGGAGGTGGCTGGTTAGGGAGTTACTTTTAGTTATTAGTTCAGTTGCCTGGCCAGTGATACTGAATTTTTAGCTCTTCTTTCTTTTTCTTTTTTCTTTTTCTTTTTCCCCCAGGTCCAGCAAGACTATGAACCTCTGTTCCAAATGCTTTGCTGGTAAGTGCAGAAAAGGCTTTATTGTTTACTTTTATTTTTCTTCTTTTGGTTGTTTTTATGATTATCTAAATCATTTGGCCTTCCTTTGGGTTAATGCATGGGGATTCGTTTCTTTGCTTGTGTGTGAAAGCAATTTCTCTTCACCAAGGTGCTCCATGTATTTGCCTAAGACTATTGAAATAGTCTTCCCTGAGTGAAATGAAATCTTATATGTACTTGCACCAAAAAACTTGCCTCAATGTATAGTTGTTGATGTATAGTGGAATTGTAAAAACTTGCATTGTAGAAAGGTAATAAATGTTCATGTTTGATCTTAATGATTAGTGGTAAATGTTGCCTTTACCAATGAGAATGCAAGAGAAAGGATATTTTCATGTTGGAATCAGGAAGACAGTCATACTGAATTTAGCCCTTTCTAATCTAATCTCTCATTAAAATCACCTTACGTAAGTCACTTAATCTCTTTGAGCCTTAGATTCATCATTTGTGACATGAAGGGTTAGGGCTTGATGTTTACCAGGTGCTTTTCCAGCCCCCAAATGCTTATTGGTTGACTTCTTGAATTATGATTCTCTCATGAAGTTGAAGCCTTCATGTTTCCTTTTTTTTTTTTTTTTTTAAGAACTATATATCTAAATGATCTTATATAAAGTAATTAAGTCTTTGCTAATTGAGATATGTTTAACATTCCTTTATTATTTTATTTTTGTCAAAGATAAAGCTGGATACTAGTTAAAGAGGTAAGGACAGATCTTAATCAGTAATGTGCTGCTATAGTAGAGAGTCCTGTGTGAACTGAACTCAACTTGGATTTGTGCTGAGGGACTGGGCATTTTAAAAGGAAAGTGAGGGAGTAGACTAGGGGTTGCTATCTTGGCTCAGTCGAGTCAGGGATGTGACAAATTACAAAAGGTTGGTCAATGTAAATGATAAGGCCAGCTGTGCCTCTTAGCTGACAACCATGAAAGTTAGGATTTTATCCTCCTACAGAGACTGAGAGACTGAGGCCCTATCCTTCCTGATAATTACCTTTTAAAGGAATGGCTTTCATGTCCCTGAGAAAAAAGGACATGTAGAGTTGTAGGAGATACATATACATCTCAAAGGAAGAGAGGATGGATGCACAGTTGTAAAACTCTTTTTAGTAAGTACTCTAAGATAGGATGCTCAGGGGCCTGTAGTCTGGGGTTGTAATAAACCTTAAATTCTTTTGGCAACTTTGAGCTTTCCTAGGCAGGCACTTAAAGAGGGGCTAGGGCCAACCTAGGGATGGGGCCTTGAGATATTAGAAACTGTTAGTGTTTGTTTAAATTTTTTTTTTTTAAATCCTCACACAAGGATTTTTTTTATTATCTTTGGATAGAATGGGAGGGAGGGAGAGAGAGAGAGAAACATCCATGTGAGAGGGACACATTGACTGGTTGCCTCCCGTACAACCCTGACCACAGCCTGGGACCAACCACAACCGAGGTACGTGCCCTTGACTGGAATCTAACCCATGATCTTTGGTCCGAGGGCCGACACTCTTAACCACTGAGCCAAACCGGCCAGGGCTGTTTGTTTAAATATTTTAATGTTGGCGAAGAGGAGTAGATAAAATAATTTGTGTTAAGAGTCTGTAGTTTTTTTAGGACAATGTTGAGGCCTAGTTGAGAAGAGGGTTCGGAGGAACCTGGCTAGAGTTTGATTAAGGGGAGAATATTTGTCAGTTTTTATCTTCTATTCATTATGCTGTTTGGGTGCGGACATAATCATAGTGTAAGCTTTAGACCTTTGCATTTATGCCTAAACTAGGGGATAACTGAGAAGTTGTTGAGAGGGCTGGGATAGCTGGCAGATTGTAACTATTAAAACTTTAGAATTTGTCAAATACTTTAGGTCTTTAAAAGGAAAAAATATTGGTAAATTTGTTTTTTATACAACGTTTAGCGGTATCTCTGCTATGTTAAACAAATGCATCCTGCTTTTCTTATTCTTCATATCTACAATTTACAGATATGAAGAAATGCCTCACTGTTGAGAGTTTAAATTTATACCAAAGATGAAAGTAGTAATGAGACAAAATGTATATTAGATTGTATGACTGTTTCTATGTAGAATTAACTCCCCCTTATACGTCAGTAAAATGTAGCTTTGGGGGAAGGCCAGACACCTTTGAGTAAGGTGGCTCAGATCAAATACTCAAAAGAATTGTCTCGTGTCCCCAACTGAAAATAAAGTTTAAAAAATTACCAGTGAAGATAGGTTAGCCATGGTTTTTGTATTTCTTTGGGCTTGTTAACAGTTTTATTTTCTATGGTTATAATTGTTTATTTTCTCTCTGGTGATCTATATCTTTTACTCTATACACAACTTTGCCATTTTTGCTTTTTAAATTATTAAGATATTTTCTTTCTTTTCTTTTGGAGAGAGAGACATAGATGTGAGAGAGAGACATTGATTGGCTGCCTTCTGCATGCCCCCTACTGGGGATCAAGCCTACAACCCAGGCATGTGCTCCGACCTGGCGTTGAACCGGGACCTCTCAGTCCATGGGACACTTAATCCATTGAGCCACACTGGCCAAGCAAAATGCTGTTTTCATGTGTGTAGAGAAAATACTCTCATCTTCTTTCCTCTTTACCTTTACCCCCACATCCTAATTTCCCCATCATTTGAAAGGAATATGTAGTCACATCCTGCTTTGGTGTTCTTTTCAAAATTCAAAAGAAAGAAAATCATTGAACTTTAGATGTATTTGTGAATTTTGTTGTATGAAAATAGTTTATAGAAATGCATTATTGTAGCAGAGGCATGAGATGTACAAGACAACATAGAGATTATTGTGGCCAAAGCCACTGTGATTTTAAATACTCTTTAATGTATATGCCCTGGCTGGTTTGGCTCAGCAGTCAATCGGCCTGCGGTTCAAAGAGACCTTGTTCGGTTCCCACTAAGGGCATGTACCTCAGTTGCAGTTTGTCCCTGCCCCTGTCGTGCGGGTGGCAGCCACTCCATGTGTCCCTTTCATGTTGATGTTTCTCTCTCTCTTTCTCTTCCTCTCTCTCCCTCCCACTCTATCTGAACAAAAAATGGAAAAATGTCCTTGGGTTAGGATAAAATAAATAAATAAAGTATATCTTAAAGTGTATAGTGTACTTTTGGAAGATGGAAAAATCATTTAAAAATAGCTATTGTGTATAATTAGGTTATTAAGAGGTTTTTTTTCAAGTTTCCTTTTCAAAATAAATCTTTGTGGTGAAAAAGTGAATTTCTTGTAACTGTTTACATACAATGGAATAAAATGAATAAAAACATTTAAAGTCTTGTTGAGAGAGTGAGTATTGGGGTAGGAATTGTGGGTATGAGTTTAAAGTTAGCTTTAATAACTGTTCACCTCCGATGAAATATTCTGCCAAATGGTGAGCACATACTCCCAATAACTATCATCACTTAGATATTTTTTCTTTTTTTTTTTTAAAGATTCCTGGGCTGTTTCAGGTCAGAGGAAGGGAAGGAAATGAATATATGGAAAGTGAGAGTTACTAAAAAAAGAAAACATTGAAATAGTTGCTGGTAAATTACATACCAAATAACAGTGTTTCTCTGTATTGTTAGGCTAAGAAATGTCTGTGTCAGCCATTTTCATTTATGTAGAAGAGTGCCCAACCTGGCTGAATTTGCTATCTCTGAAAGTTTGTAGCGCAACTAAAATTTCTCTCCTTGAGATGGGAAGGTATTATTTTTATGTTTTGACAGTCCTCATCTTAAACCTTGGTTTGGCTTACCTGAAATTATTTAAGACCATTTGGAGTTTTTCCCCCCACAAATGTGTAATATTCTTCTTTCTTAGCCTTAAAGGGCTTTGACCGGAAGATCTTTATAATCCATGATTTTCCATGCTAGGATAACTAGGACATTTAAAGGAAGTATTCTGGGGAAGCTCCCCCCCCCCCCCCCCCAAATGAGTGACTCTAGTGTTATGATTTCAGATACAATGGATTTAAAATGCTCTTCTGGATTTTCTTTATCTCAGATTATTATTTGTTTAATCTTAAAAAAAAAGAAAACAGTCAAAGTTTACTTTTATTGTACTATACATATTTTCAGTGCTTTCTAATTTTTTTCTGTTGTACTCAATTTTTTTTTTTTTATCCTCACCCGAGGACATCTTTCCATTTTTTGTTCAGGTAGAATGGGAGGGAAAGAGAGGAAGAGAGAGAGAGAAACATTGACGTGAAAGGGACGAGCGGCTGCCACCCGCAGGACCAACCAGGGCCGGGGACAAACTGCAACTGAGGTACGTGCCCTTAGCGGGAACCGAACCCGGGTCTCTCCAGACCACAAGTCGATACTCTAACCGCTGAGCCAAACCAGCCAGGGCAGTACTCAATTTTTTAAAATGCTAATTGTGACACATTAAATTGATATTTTTTGTTCGTCTTTTTTCTTTCTTTCTTTTTTTTTTTTTAAATTTATCTTTATTGTTGAATGTATTACAGATGTTCTTCATTTTCTCCCTATTGACCTCCTCCTCCTTACTCCTGCCCCTCTCCTGCCTTTCCCCACACTGTTGTCTGTGTCCATTGGTTATGCATATAAGTTCTTTGGTTTATCTCTTCCAACCCCCCTCTCCCCCTTCCCTTTGAGGTTTGTCAGTGTAACAACCAATTTGTACTTCTTAATCCCCTCACCTTTTTTACCCATTCCCCCAGTACCTCCTCCCATCTGGCAACCAACAAAATGTTCTCTGTATCTATGAGAATGCTTCTGTTCTGCCTGTTCATTTTGTTTGTAGATTCAGTTGTCGATAGATCACCCTTTTATTTTGTTCATATTTTTTAATCTTTTTCTTCAAGAAGACACTTCAACATTTCATATAATAATGGGTTGGTGGTGATGAACTTCTTTAGCTTTTTCTTGTCTGGGAAACTCTTTATATGGCCATCGATTCTAAATGACAGGTTTGCGGGATAGAGTAATTTTGATTGTAGGTTCTTGCTTTTCATCATTCTAAATAT